TAAAGAATCTTTTGGCGAAAACCGCATGTCGATCGATGCAGCCATTAAAAAGCCTTTTGAATAGCAAAATTCGGCCACCACAAATAGATAATAGATGTGAAAGTTCACAATTTGACCGCCTAAAACTTCCGAACCATTTAACTCTGGAATTTGACAAAATTAATGGTGGTTCAGAATCATTTAAAGGATGCACAGTTTCATTGAGGAGCCTGAAGTCACTGTTGTTTAATTTTCAGTTTTTCATTAATTTAGTTTAGATCTAATCTTGGGCATTACAGTCAGGGCCGGCTTTAAGCACGCCGGTATAAAGCACGGTTCGGACTCAAGCACGCTAAACGGCTCTTACCGAATTTTTGCTATATAAAATTACACGCTGTTAAGAAAGGTAACTTCGGCTTCGGGCACGTTTCATTTTCCAGACAGTCAATACTTTCATGATGACCCATCGAAGTTCGAACACAGTCTACACCGCAGCAGTGAGTCTGTTAAGAGAAACACAAAGAACTCAAGTGATGGGGACACACACTCACACACACAAAAGAAAAGAACAAGAACAAAAGATGAACCCCGCCCCCCCAAAAAAAAATAAAAAAATAAAAATAAAAATAAAAAATAAATAAAAAGGCTAGCCATTCAAGGACGCACGGAGACAATCAATCAGCCACTTGACCTCAATAATATGCTTTTTGTAACTGTGTTACGGCGCTAACAAGTGCCACTTTACCCAACTCGAAACCAACTTTCAACCTATTAAAACACAAATTGCTACACACAGCCACAGATAACAGTGAGCGTATTGTTTCGTCTTGCCATCTCGTGCTGCGCTATCGATCTTGAGACAGTGGAACCAGACACTCTCAATAAGTGTTACAGGTTTCTCGGGCAGATGGAGCTGATGTTATCTCTATCTCTATCTCTATGTCTATATATTACTAGCTGGGCCCCCTTTCGATGAAAGGAATGATCGGTGCATTAACATCAACTGAAAGTCATTGGCCTACTATATTTTTACACTCTACTGGAATGGAGCAATAAATCTTGAGATATGCAAAAAATTAGAATGTCTAGATCTAGATCTATACTCTCAAAACAAAATGCACCTCGCAAAATATCACTTACGCACCGGATTTTCTAAAATTACAGAGACAGAAGCGTCGGCCTACAAAAGCGATCGGCGAAATAAAGAAATTTAGCTTTTTGCAGCAAAACTGTCCCAAAACTGAAAAAATCAAGGGCGTCATGATCTCGGGAATATTTTAAAGAATCTTTTGGCGAAAACCGCATGTCGATCGATGCAGCCATTAAAAAGCCTTTTGAATAGCAAAATTCGGCCACCACAAATAGATAATAGATGTGAAAGTTCACAATTTGACCGCCTAAAACTTCCGAACC